AAGGCTGCTGTGGTCTGGATTCGCAGTGTCCCATGCTCCATGCCCCCCCTGCCCGTGCAGAGCCTGGATGAGCCACCGTGCCTCAGTTTCCCTAGGAGGGAGAACAGCCCATTCGTCCCCAGCCAGGCAGCAGCCCCCGCCGCCCCCAGTACATGCACTTGTCATGAGGGAGAGGGCTATGGAGGGCCCTGGGCTAGGAGCCAGGACACTTGCTCTGCCACTGCCCTGCTGGGTAGCTAGGGCCATGACCCTTTGCTGCTCCTGCCTCAGTTTCCCCTTCCCTTTTTCCATACCTTGAGATCGCAGCTGTCTCCAGAGAAGTGCCTGCTCGCTACCGTAATACCTGGAATAAAGGAGGTCCCACAATCGGATGCTCCCCCCCCCCCCCCCCGAAACGGCAGCCCCCCCCCCCCCCCAGCATGGTGTTGCGGGGGAAGGAAGGGAAGAGGTGACTCCCCCCTTCAGCAGGGTTTAACCCCTTAAGTGCTGGCAAAGGCACTAGACCCCACAGCAGGCAACCCAGGCGTCCAGGAGCAAAGACCAGGATTGCACACGGGGCCGAACGCTCTCGTCATCTTTTCCCTGCCCGTCGTGCCGGGGCGGGCAGCTGGAGCCCAGCGCTGGCCCGGGGCACACGGGCACCGTATAACTTTAAGAGTCGACAACTTTCCAAGTCGGGGGGGAAAGAAAAAATAGAGGTATTTTTTTGTTCTTTTTTATATATATATATATATATATATATATTATATATTTTCCCCCTTCCTCTCCTCATCTCTTTCCAGCCCCCCCCCACCCCTCTTCCATCCCAGCAGCTTTCTAATTCGTACATTAAATGCTTTTAATTATAGGAGCATTCTGTCTGACCTGCGGGGTTATTTCAAGAGAGACGAAATGAAGGAATTAAAGAAAATGACAGAGAAAATTGCGGCAATTAGCAGTGCCGGCATTGTTCGGCGTGTCTGTCAAGGGAGCGCTGTGTTTGTTAGCTACAAGTAAATTCATACAGATAACAGAGGGAGCTATTATAAATGCCAGCTCCCATGTAGAGCTGGGGGGGGGGTGTTCGGGGGTTTTTTTTATTTTTATTATTATTATTTTATTTCTTTCCCCTTTCGGTTTCGTTGGAAAATAGCATTTCTTCTCCCCCCAAGCACGAGAAGAGGCCCGTTCCCCTCCTGCCAACCTCTCCCCCACAACCTGTTGAAACCTAGAGGTCGCGTTCGAGTTCAAAATCGGACTAGCAGCGGGGAGAGATCGGGTGCAGCCGGCAGCCCTGCCCGGGGTTTGAATGCAAAGCCGGACGCCTGGGTTCTTCTCTCAGGCTTTTCCCCCCATTTGTGCTTTCTTGTTTCATCCCTGTGCGTTGGCTCAGGACTGAATCCGGCCCTCTGGTCTAGGTGTGACACCCTCACTCTCATGCAGGGAGCTGGGAGAGTCCACGCAGTCTCCCATCCGTGCACTGACCTAGCTGGAGCCTGCTTAGCTTCCAGGACCCAA